AGGTGGCGTTAGTCTACCACTTCCGGTTTCAGAGTTATGACCCCCCGAGCGAAGTCTGTCTGTTCGGGGTTGGCGGCTACACTAGGTCTGCCCCGAGTCTGAAATTTGGGGTATAGGGGTAGCTCGGACCGGGGAGTGACATAGGCCAGGTGGCGTTAGTCTACCACATCCGGCTTCGGAGTTATGCCCCCCGAGCGAAGCCGGGGAACCTGCTAGTTATATATATTTGTGACTTTCGTTTGTCTGTCTGTTCGGGGTTGGCGGCTACACTAGGTCTGCCCCGAGTCTGAAATTTGGGGTATAGGGGTAGCTCGGACCGGGGAGTAACATAGGCTAGGTGGCGTTAGTCCATGACTTCCGGTTTCGGAGTTATGACCCCGAGCGAAGCCGGTCTGTTCGGGGTTGGCGGCTACACTAGGTCTGCCCCGAGTCTGAAATTTGGGGTATAGGGGTGGCTCGGACCGGGGAGTAACATAGGCCAGGTGGCGTTAGTCTACCACTTCCGGTTTCGGAGTTATGACCCACGAGCGAAGCTGGGTATCTGTCTGTCTGTTCGAGGTTGGCGGCCTACACTAGGTCTGCACCGAGTCTGAAATTTGGGGTATTGGGGTAGTTCTGACCGGGGAGTAACATAGGCCAGGTGGCGTTAGACTACCACTTCCGGTTTCGGAGTTATGACCCCCAAGCGAAGCCGGTCTGTTCGGGGTTGGCGGCTACACTAGGTCTGCCCCGAGTCTGAAATTTGGGGTATAGGGGTAGCTCGGACCGGGGAGTAACATAGGCCAGGTGGCGTTAGTCTACCACTTCCGGTTTCGGAGTTATGACCCACGAGCGAAGCTGGGTATCTGTCTGTCTGTTCGAGGTTGGCGGCCTACACTAGGTCTGCACCGAGTCTGAAATTTGGGGTATTGGGGTAGTTCTGACCGGGGAGTAACATAGGCCAGGTGGCGTTAGACTACCACTTCCGGTTTCGGAGTTATGACCCCCAAGCGAAGCCGGTCTGTTCGGGGTTGGCGGCTACACTAGGTCTGCCCCGAGTCTGAAATTTGGGGTATAGGGGTAGCTCGGACCGGGGAGTAACATAGGCCAGGTGGCGTTAGTCTACCACCTCCGGTTTCGGAGTTATGACCCCCGAGCGAAGCCGGGTATCCTGCTAGTTAACAATAAATTCTATGTCGGTATTTTCGACAAAGCGGACAAATTTGGTTTTGAAGTTGTAAAATACCCGTCAATCTATAGTAACATACCAGATACCACGCTATATAGTGTTTTCTATTCACAGGCATAACGATTTTTGACAATATGTAGCAATAAAGAACTATTTATCTCCCGAATAAAATCTCTTTACTTTAAATGCACCGCCCATGTGGTCGATTATCCAGTGTTTTTTTGGCAAAGTCAAGTAAGAATTGCGCCCCTTCCCGTAATAAATCCCATAATTCTTGCGTTAATATAAACACGAATCTTGACGTCGAATAAGGTTTAATTTTTACAAAAAAACAACAACATAGATATATCCAATGAAGATAGAAATTTTGCAATAAAAAAAATTAAAAGTTTTGGATATTGAACTAATGCAGTAAAATGGAATTTATAAAATGACATTCTTAAATTAATTTCATGGGCATCAACATCTTGTTTTAGGCTTTGTTACCTCCCATAGAGTTTGTTTACGATAATGTAAACGACCGGATAATTTAGCCAATAACCCCATAGAATATTTTTTCTGGATGAGTCAGATTAATATGTACCATGCATTCGGGTGTCCGGTGTTCGTCGACAAGCTATTGATTTACTTGAGCAGCAATTTCAAGATTAGTTTTTTACTACATGGTCGGATTCTCATTACAGTTGATCAAAATCAACTGATTTTTAACACTGCTCATAACTTTTTAAAATTATCAAAACGGATATAATTGATTGATTTACTCTATTATTCATTCAAACTTTTAAACGACCTAGATATTTTAATAGTTATAATAGAAAATTGCATTAAAGAGTTGGTCATTCTTGCTATAATAATTCAAAAATAGATGATAAAAAAAGAAAATATTGAAAATTTCATTCAAATTACTTCATTCTCAGCCAAGTTTATAGTTTTGACAAGATGTGTGCACAGTGGTAACCAGGGCACTGGTATAATCGGGACTTAGTCTCGCTTTCCCATTTTTAAATTAAATTTTTAAATGGCGAACCGTTTTAATCTAGTTAAAATCGACGAGTATCAAATGCCATCGAGAGTCGATTATGGTCTTGTTTTGTTAATAAATATCTAATTAATAGTTTATATAACATGTCGTGCCTAAAAAAAGACCTACAATAGGCAGATTTAGCTCATGTATAATGTATGTTTAAGAGACTTAATAATCGAATCGTTACAGATGTTTACTCAAAAGAGACAGATACAAAAAATTATTTATCTTATAAATTTTTATATGCCCACATTTTCATGTGAATGTATATTGTCGTCGCCCCCGTTCGTTCACCCGTCCGTCGGTCTGCCCACTACACTTTTTGGGACGCAATAACTCCCTTTCTAATTGAGATAGAATGTTCAAACGTTGTGTTGGTGTTTATTTTAATCAAATCATTCTAGAAAACGACTTATTAAATGGATCAAAGCAATTAATTCATCACAATTCCAAGACATTTAAAACCTGTACACAGTCTATACATCAGTATCTGGTGTGTCCACCGCGAGTGTCAATAACAGCAGCGCAGCGTCTGCTCATCGATTGGACCAGAAGATTGATGAACGCCATTGGCACCTGGAACCACACTCTCAGAAAGCCTGGCGCAGTCCATCGGCTGTGTTTGGTCTCTGTACGACGCTATTAGGTCACCTCTTAAATTTAAGTGCGGACTAAGGGCTGGCCAGTGCATAACGTTGACACCGTTCTGCTGTAGAAAGTCCCGAGTAACTCTGGCGGTGTGGGCATGCTGGAAAACGTTGTTTCGATGACGTGCGAAATGTGGTATGAAGTGGGGTCTCAGAGCTTGATCGATGTAGGGCACTGCTGTGATGCCGCCTCCTCTCACTGGACCAACATTTTGGAACACCACAGGACCCACTCTCTGGTTCAGGCCGATTCCACCCCAAACTATTATGCTTTGACCTCCCTATGAGTCTCGTTCCATGACACATTGGTCAGAATAACGCTGACCACGTCGACGCCAAATTCTGGTCCTGCCATCTGCAGTTGATACGCAATATCGACTCTGGTCTGTGAACAGAACAGCTCCCCATTGCCTTTGTCACCAGTTCTGGTGTTGTTGGTCAAACTGTAGACGTTCACGTCGATGGCGAGTTGTGAGGATCGGTCCACGGTAAGGTCTACGGCAATGGATGTTCGCTCTGGTGAGATGTCGGCGCACTGTATCGGTACTGATGGGTCTTGCGTGTGTTCCCACGGTCTGACGTGCTGTGTGACGTGCTGTCTTCCAAGCGCCTGGTTCCTCTGAGCTGTTCCTCTGAGTCGTGCCATGCTGCTGACATTGTAGTGTGAGTGATTCAACAAGGTATGTGGGTGCATATTGTAGGGCTGGTTCCGGTGAACAGCACGTGCAGCAGGAGTTACATGAAAATCACGGAGAACACATTACCATCTCTGAAGTCAGGTTGCATTTTTGAGAACATTTCCTGCGTTCAATCCTGTGTTTGGGAAGGAGCCTTATTGCTCAGGTAAAGTTGGAGATGTGGCCACAAATATACAATAAAAACATTTGGCAAGTTTTATGCAATGCGTCTATTCAGAGTAACATACCAAACTGACGTTTCTTTTGCTGCTTAGTATATACTTCAGTTGGAGTCGTGAAACTTGGTGTATAGCTTCATTACACCAATACCGTGACTAAGTTCGATGATGGGCATGTTCTGATTGGTCGAGACGTTGGGACACAATAGCTCTCCTAATTGAAGTAGAATGTTCAAACTTGGTGTAGGTGTTTATTATGTGAATACCTTGAATTTGATAGTGATCGATATAAGCAATTTGATTGGTTGTAACTTTGGAATACGATAACATTGGTGGGAATGGCGAGAGAGAGAGGGGGGGGGGGGTTACGTCTACTCGACATAAACTGTGACGTGACATTTTGGGACTAACATATGGTTCAGTTTTATATTAATAATTCGCTTCCGCGTAGGGATCTTTAGCAGTGGGGGGAAACCGGAGGACCAGGAGAAAACCCACGAGTTTGGACAGACGACCCAACTTCGTGTCATGTACAAGCCGGAAATCGAAACAACGCCAGTTGACTCAATGACAGACCTTATGATACAGCGCGCAAACTCTAACCATTCGACCATGCAAACCCCCGGTGAGAGTGGTGAAACGCAGAGTATAGATTTCTTATATCAATAACTTGACTAAGTAGCGATAAGCGATTTGATTGGTCAAGACGTTGGAACATAACAACTTTGCTTTTAATTGAGGTACAATGTTTACACTTGGTGTGGATGTTCATTAGTTCAAGTTCCGCTAAAGTTAATCAATTTTATTGGCTGATGGTTTGGACACGATAACTTTGATTCTAACTGATGAAACTTGGTGTATAGTTTCACTACCAGGTACTTCAAACCATGACTGATTTCGATCGGGAACATTTGCTACTTAAACTAAGTATAGATAATCATTGTTCGATACTTTCCAAAAAGGTAAATGTGCAATTAATATGTGTCATCTATTTATTTTGAGACAAACCTCACTGTTGGCTTATTTCCCATAAAAATTGTGTCCTGTTTAATGTGTTTTCAGTTGCTAAATATCACTTTTAAAAATATTAGGAATAGATCTTGTACGTTTCACCATATGTTTGTCCCGAAACGACCTAATTTGTGTCGATTGGGTGTCAAAATCTATTTCTCTATTATTTAATGAGGATGATTGGTTTGCGGTTATCTGTTATTTAGGATACTCTTTCATTTTGTAAATGAACAAACTATGTTCTAACCTACATTGTAATATTTATGTTGAATATATTTTTTTTTTTATTCATAGCCCAAAATATCGTATAAACTCCAGTAATTGGATAGTTATAACAACGAGTGTTGAGCCTACAGATGCTATAAAATATATGAGTAATTTACCAAAGTGGAAACTACTTGTAGTAGAAAATAGTAATACACCTAAAGACTGGAAGTAAGTGCATATGAATACGTTATTACTTTGACCAGTCATCATCGCATTGAGTTGAAAAACACCAACCCTATCGCGACTCCGTTTGTGCAGATACTTTGATTCCTATAATTATTGAGAATTGTATGGGTTTTTTTGATCTATGAAACTGGTATTTTGGATGTTCTACTACCTTGGTCCCGTCTTCATAAGCCCAGTCGGAGCAGAACATTAGGACGTTAAACCCCATTTCATTTCATTCAATTTCTACTACCTTACCAAACTTTATATCCACTGCCCCCCCCCCCCCGAAATCTACGGCATTCAAGGACACTGTAATAATTTGTATAAAGATTTCCATTTCCTAATGGATCTGATATGAATGTTATGATACCTTCACACATTTAAATTAACTGCCGAGAGTTTTTATTTTGATTTAAACGAAACCACATGCGTGCGTATTCTATGATTTAATCGCATCGAACTTGGTCAAAAAACATCAGATCAATCCAATTCCACACTTTATTTTAAAAGTGTTTTATATTTATCAACCATGTTACCTCTTTAATTAATTTCATTCTTTAAAATCTTTTATAGATTGGCAAACTGCATTTATCTGAGCTTAGCTGAACAACAACAGTTTAGTATATCTAAGTTAATTCCAACAGAAAGTTATTCTCGCAAAATAATTGGCTATCTGTATGCCATTTCCAAAGGTGCTGATACTATTTATGATTTAGATGAAACAATAAAGTTACTAACAGATTTAGATGACCTTGTGAAAACGGAAAAATTCGAATATGGATTGCAATATGATGGGAAAGGCGTATTTAATCAGTTTAATCATTTTGGACAATCAACAATATGGCCGAGGGGCTATCCAATAAACAAAACAAGTGAAAATGGGACAAATAGTTATTTGGTGTCTGCCTTGAAGACACCAAGTGTATTACAGATCGTAAGTAACGGCGACCCAGACATTGACCCCGTGTTTCGACGGACTTTAAAACCAACAAAGACATCGTTAAATATTTCATTTGACAAAGCAGCCCCACCTGTTGTCATTCCACCTGGTGTATTTGCTGCGATAAATAGTCAGACTACCCTCTTCCAGTATGAGGCCTTATGGGCCATGGTTCTTCCCATCACGCCGTCTTACCTACATTCTGACGTTATAAGAGGATATTGGACACAGCGTTTGTTGTGGGAAATTGGGGAATTTGTCGGTTTTTATCCCCCAAATGTGTATCAAATTAGAAATAATAGGTCATATGCACTTCCAGAAGATTCAAGGGCATCTTATTTTGATCCAAATAAGTTAATTGATTTTCTAATAGACTGGAAATGTCCCGTCGCACTAACATTTTTCCAGTGTGTTGACTTGCTGAGTGGCAATTTAGCACAGGGTGGATATTGGCAGCAAGGCGACCACCAACTTGTCCAAGCCTGGATACACGAAATTAAAATTTCTAGTTACAAAGAGCCGATCAGAAAACCGTTTACTGATAAGAATATCAATAAACATCTCCATTCAGCTGTATATATTCCAGCGGAAAAGACGGACATCCGGAACTCAAAAATACGACAACAATCGAAATGGAACCAAGTTTTGGGAATGACTTCATTTTGTAAAAACACTTCTTACCAAATTAAAAGCTCTGGTCTGGCCTCTGTGACCTCTCCAGATTTACTACTAGTAATTGTGTTTAATTTTCCTTTTTACGGTAATATACCATACTTACAGTTGATATATGGTGTGACATTTACACATATAGTCTATTGTGGTTCTAACATGAAACGATTTCTTAATGCATCTAGACAATTTCCGAATAAAGTCACTTTTGTTGAATCTGTTGTCGATGGAGGATATTGTCCATATACATGTTTAAGTGCCGCCATGAAAATGAATTTCGATGTTCAAGGATACTTCTTTGTTGCAGATGATACATTGCTGAATTCTGAGAATATTCTCACATTCCCATTGGACAAGATATGGTTCCATTTTGAAGATCGTTTTCTTTTCAAAGGTAAATCTAGTCCTTGGCACTGGTGGCAAAAACCAATTGGACAATCCGCAATGAATAAAGCGTGGCGATATCTCTACAACTTGTCGGCAGATCCTGATCTTAAACCAGTTGTTGATAAGTTTGTGCATACGCTTCTTGCAAATAATGTATCTAAAGATGACGCCATATCTGGACCATCAGACATTGTCTATATTCCCAGCAAATATAAGAATGATGCTATATTTCTCTTGGATGTCTTTGCTAGATTTAAATTATTTTTAGAAATAGCTATACCAATGGTAGTGAACGGCGTAGAAGAAAGAAATAGTTCAATCCATTTAGTGGGGCAGTATTTGTGGTATGATGGTAAAAGAGAGAAAGTACCAGAACTTTTTAAATCAAGTGACATTTTCCTTCATCCTGTAAAACTCTCTAATATAAAAACAAATCTGAAAATCTTCTTTTGTAAGACGTATTTCCCACTCACATTAAAGAAAATAAATCCGAACTAAATAACTACACGAACATACAACATGGATTTTTTAAAGGTGTGTGATCATGACATTTAAATATAATTGAAAGAGATGGGCCATAAAGTTTTCCATAAAGCTATATTCTTCGTGGATTGCTTTGCCGAAAACGAATAACTTTTAGAAATAACTTTACCAGTGGTAGTGAACGGTTTAGAAGAAAAGCATAATTCAATCAATTTATGTGTAATATAATGGTAAACGAAATAAATTACCAGATCTGTTTTAACCAAGTGACATTTTCTTTCATCCTGCAAAACTCTTCATTTTAAAAACTATTCATGCGGATGCAGAAGCCGAAGCCCAACCGAAATTGACAGCCCTCTTTGTTAGACTCCCATCCATTGCTTGATGTGATCGAATGTGTCCCTTTGAAATTAGAAATTGTATTTTGAAGCGTGGCTACAATGACCTTTCGCGAATTTGAGAAGATAATAAATCACAGGGCCGGCGGCCTTGAAAGAGTGTCAATTTTAGGGATACTTGCACACACCACGTCATAGGACTGTGCACGTCTGGACAGATACCTTTTTAGTGTATATGTAGACGGGTATAATTTGCTACTTTCCAGTTTGTCCGTTTAGTTTTGTTATTTAATTAATAATGGGATTTCGAGTTTTATTTTACATAGTTAAAAAGTAAAAAAAAAAGGTGTTATGGGTTGTGGTGTATATACGTTTCTATTGTAGTTATACTTTTGAAGTTTTGGTCTTCGTTTTGTGGGAACTAGGATTTGATTCTTATGTTTGGTGGAATTTATTCTTTGTGTACTTAGTACTTAATTACTTTATTTCTAGAAGGTTTTGTTGTACATTTCACTTGGAGATTGTTTATCAGGTGATATGATTTGTTGTATTCTGATTGGTTATTTGGGTGGCGCATTTTATTAAAAGATATGAATCAGTATCTTTTCCCACTCTTCATTTTCTGATTGGATGACTGGTTCATTGGTCCCGATTTAAACAGCTCATTTCCACAAATTGGTAAGACACATTTATATTAAATTTTATATTACATTTAACTTTAAAATACATGAATGTTTGGTTATGTGACTTGGTTGTGTGAAATCAAGGGTGTAGAATGAATGATTCTATATTATGCTTTTATGAAATAATTTATAGACTTTATTCCAAAGATGGAAGTCAATCATTGAGTTTACTGCGACATGATTGAAATTGTGTAACATTGAATTATAGTTTAGTATGGAATGTATTTTTGTTATTTCAGGGCATGTTGTTTTGCTCCTGATGCTTATATTGTTCATGTGATGTCATTATTACTATGGTGTTTTATCATTAAGCTGTAACCACGTTCGCGGGATGTTCATTATAATTTTTATAACAATATGATGAATTTGTGATATTTAATAAAACATTTAAAACCATCTTGAGTTATCATTTCTACTCACCCTATCCCGAACACTTAAAGCAGCGAGTCTAAATTTTTTCTTAGGCGACGCATATAGCTGCGACATATATGGCGACATATTAAACGACCTATAGGCACCTAGTAACCCATGTTTATACAGTTTATTATCATCATTCAAGTAACCTTTAAAAACTCATTTGTTTCAAACAAGTTATAACCAAGAGCTAAAGACTCTTTATGTAGATATGTTTTGTTAAACGCTACGCTATATGGCGCTATAGAAATGGGCTTTTATTTATTGTCCCCCCACCCTTTTCGAAGAAAGCAGGGGACTATTAAAATGGGTCTGTTCGTCCGTCACACATTTTGGGACACAATATAGTTTCATTACATCAATACCCTGACTAAGTTCGTTAATGAGCATTTTTTACTCGGGCTAATAGGCCGCATTCAATGGACACAAATTCTCGTTGCAAAAATATTTTTGTTCCTTCAAATCCGGTTTAGAAGAAATTTTATCGGTGTATAGTTAATATAGTAATTAGCGTTTACTGTGTTCAACAAACTGGAGAGGGATTCGATATGTAAAACAGACTGGCCTACCTTCCACCCGACCATTTCCTCGCTACCTCCGACCGTAGGGATAAGTGAACGTTGCCCGGCCAACTAGCACGGAGACGACCGTTTGTTATGCGAGTTAAGGTGCTAACTAGTTTTTTAGAGTGTACGGAGCAGTCCTCTCCAGCAATCATCTGCTTTATTGCCGAATCCCGAATAACGTGCTGGCTCGTTATTCGGGATTCGCCACTAAAACAGAACGATCTATCCTGCATCTCATCATTTCCTCGTTGGGTGACCGATTAGCACGGAGACGACCGTTTCTCAAGCGAATAGGGTGCTGACTGGTTTGTTAAAGTGCACAGGGCAGTCCTCTCCAGCAATCATCTGCTTTACTGCTGAATCCCGAATAGCGTGCTGGCTCGTTATTCAGAATTCGGGATTCGCCACTAAAACAGAACGATCTATCCTGAATCTGATCATTTCCTCGTTGGGTGGCCGATTAGCACGGAGACGACCGTTTCTCAAGCGAATAGGGTGCTGACTGGTTTGTTAAAGTGCACGGAGCAGTCCTCTCCAGCAATCATCTGCTTTATTGCTGAATCCCGAATAACGTGCTGGCTCGTTATTCGGGATTCGCCACTAAAACAGAACGATCTATCCTGCATCTGATCATTTTCTCGTTGGGTGACCGATTAGCACGGAGACGACCGTTTCTCAAGCGAATAGGGTGCTGACTGGTTTGTTAAAGTGCACGGGGCAGTCATCTCCAGCAATCACCTGTTTTTATTGCCGAATCCCGAATAACGTGCTGGCTCGTTATTCGTGATTCGCGAATAACGAGCCAGGACGTTATTCGGGATTTGCCACTAAAAGAGAACGATCTATCTTGCATCCGACCATTTCCTCGTTGGGTTGACGACCGTTTCTAAAGCGCGTAGGGTGCTGACTGGTTTGTTAGAGTGCACGGGCAGTCACCTCCAGCAATCACCTGTTTTATTCCCAAATCCCGAATAATTCTGAAAAATTCGCTCGGGAGGCAATCAAGGCGGTCGTTCGCGCGAACCAATATTTGTTCGGGTTCGCGCTCTATATGAACGGGGCCTCTAAAAATGACTCGAGCATTCGAGGACGAAAGATCTCGTTCGCGTTCGGGTTCGCGCTCTGTATAAACCCCCCTTTATACAGAACGCGAACGCGGCTTTTCGTCCTGGAATGCTTTCGTCATTTTTAGAGGGCTTCCTTCGTTGTTTTATGTACACATACAGTGCCAAGATCTCGTCTGTGTCGGATTCCACCTGAGCCACGATAGCAAATGACAAAATTTATCTCTCACAGCTAGAAAAAGACAAGCCATCACGAAAGCCGTTGAACTTCGCACTCTGTATAAACGGGGCTTTACGGACAAAGCAAGGCTCTTAAAAGCAATTAAAAGTTGTGAGAAAAAAGCAAAAATAGAGAGTGAGAAGGCAGCATCTACAGTCAGCCCAACAACAATTTTTAGGCTTAGTACTAGTACTAGTTGTACTTCATCATATTTAAAAACTAAGAATAAACGTGTTTCTCGTTCAATACCTTCTCTATCATTAATCTCACCAAAGAAATTAAGGTCTCATCATTGCGCGATATATGTTACAACTTTATCATCAGAGCTAAGGAAGTCAGTCTTAACAGGTATCTGTATAATTTGCAAGAAAAAATCCAATAGCCCTTTTCTAACTAATAAATGTGTTAGTGTCTTACTTTCAGATAAATCCTCCCTTAAATGCTATTTATTTGATCCTGGGTAGTAAAAAAGAATTCAAGTCACAACTGAAAAAGCCTAAACTTTGACTTGTGCAATCTGCTGGAGTCAGTATTTGTCCAGGGAGGTAATTAGTGTTAGATTTCATCAACTACATGTACATGTACAGTACCCATTCTAATTGTTTCAAGAAATCGGAATATTTATATTACTGCAATTTATTAATCAGACAGAAGATTGGAATATTCAAACTATTCTTAGAGCTCTTATCGATGATTCCACATACATTTGTAGGTGTGCCCCATATTAATGAGGGTCTCTATCTGGTTCTTTCGCATTTGCAGACAAAATAACATTTTTCTATATTAGAATGGAATTTGACAGATTTTAATGGCAGTCAGGTGCTATTTGAATTTATATATCTATTGTAAGCTTACATATTTTACAGGTTCATTGCTTGAGGCAGCAGAGCAAAAAAAAGATGAAAGTATTCAGATTAGAGAAAGGGACTGTGTAGCTATTGAAGTAAAATGTCATCTTGTATGCTATAAAAATCATTTCAGAAATCTTCACATGACAGATAAGCTTAATATTTTCTTTTTCTACATGTATATCCTCTCCATTTTTGGAAGAACATTTTTCTTACACACTACATGGATAGTCACAAAGAAAGTGAAAAGGGTAATGGGCATAATGCTTGATCAATTAGTGTATTTTGTATGATGTGTACTTGCTTGTTTGTGGTTTATAATTGTAATTACAATATTTTATATTTCAGTGCTGTTAATGAACCAGATCAACATTATTCTGGTGTCAGCTATATTTTGTGAAGATATTACAAAACAAACAGATGGATAATCAAAAGATATTACGGATGACAAAGTTAACAGAGATGTTTAACAATATAATTAAAGATGATGTTGGTGAAAATGCAAAGTTCATCAGGTATTTATTTTATTCCTCTATTATGTTATTGCCGAAGTGTACAGATGTGTTCAGTGGCATAGCGTGGGGTGGCGGTGTTCCATGACAACAGCCATCCTTAGATCCAATCATTCATCCAGTCCGCTGTGCTCTTACACTAACACTCACTAATAACGGGAAGAATTGACATGCATGTCTCTAGATGCTGTCCCATTTCTTATATTTTCGTTCACAAGAATTTGTTCACAACAATGACCTCAAATGGCAAGAAACTGAGTCAAATTTTCAAAATTTTCCTTGTGGGAATGAACCTGTCTGAATTCCCCTTCAAGGTTGCTCGCTCATACATCAGATCATATAAGCAGAATTTTGCTACTATACTTTACGACTGTTTAATATTTAAAACTATGGTCTTTGTTGCATAGAAGAATATCATAATTCGACGATATGTGTTAAGTTACATCAACATTTGATTATTACAAGATGAAACTTTTTGAAAAAAAGCCTTTAACTATCTTTTCAGGGCTGATCGATTAAAATATAGAATAAGAAAGACTTCCCTCAACTAACTTTGTATTCTCAGCCTAGAAAAAAATTTCATGGACACAGTTCGATTTTCATCAACTGATGAGAGGAGTGATGTTGTCCTAAAGCCACAACCGATTAAAGTATTTGATGCTAATCCGGAAAAGACACTTTTTGATGCTCCTGTTATTATTAAAAGGTGATTAGCAGATAAACCAGGAATGGCATGCCAATGGCCACCAACATCTCCAGACCTTAATATGAAAAGTGCACTGGATATTGTACCCTTGGAACTATTTAATTTTATGGCATGGGTTACAGGATCATCAGATCAGAGGAGCCCATCTTAAGTGAAATGGTTAGTGTTCCAGACGATACATACACTAAAATTCTATCTATATATCAATATATCGTCTATTTGGCATCAGGTGGAGAAAACAAACACCTAAAGCACTCTATAATGACCAAAGCCATTATAGGAGTCGTTTATCAATAATACACAAGCTTCTTTAATACACTGTCGTTACCGATACTTTATTCTTTTACGTTTACTTTACAGTATCATTTGAACGTTTACGATATGTCGACAATTCTTTTTATACGATTCATGACGTTAACTTTAAGACGTTATACAATAGATCTACATCAGTACATGTGGAACTTTACTTTTGGTTACAACAGCAACAGTACTAACGGTAGTAACAGACAGACAGTAATCACAGTAACTGACAGACAGTAATCACGGTAACTGACAGGTTTTGCTACAACGAAAAGAAAAATAACTTTAAGTTTGATATACAAGTAAATAAACGTTTAGGCATAATCTATGTTTGCTTAAGATATCATAAATGGACATTAAATTGAATAATAATGTTACTTACAGCTTGTGGGGACTAAAAATAATACAGTCTCGTAATTAACGAAACGATAAAACAATTAACGTTAAACATCTTAACAGAAAAACATGGCGGTTATCAACAAATAGACCAAGAGCCAGTGACGAAAAAACTGCCTCATAAGCAATAGAAGGTTTGACTATATCAATTGGCAGCTATTGATAGGGCAAATTCAAAACACCCAGTCTTACGAGGTTTCAGTGGGGCATTTGGCTGGGAGGGGCAGATAAAAAGGTCCAAAAAGGACTAAAATTTGCCTCATAAGTAATAGGATCAGAATTATTTCTAAAATGTTGCCATACAATGTATGAATATAAAAAATATAAATCTGACCAGAAAAAGTGGGGCCAT